ATAATAAATCACGCGGATTCATACATTTTATCCATTTGTTTCCCATTAAAAAATTTTACATAAATTTTCCCTTTTTTTATTATACTCATTGTCTTGAAAATTAATTTTTTAAATTGCTGTGTGTTAAAAATACAATTTCTACATTTAGAAATGTAAGAATATTATGACTAATTGCTCTAGATCAAATTATTCATAATATTCTTCCATTTCTAAATGTAGAAATTGTATTTTTAATACACAGCAATTCAGAAAATTAATTTTTAAGTCAGTGAGTAAAATAAATAAGGAAAAATGTATGTACAATTTTTTATGGAAAATTAAAGGACAAAATGTATAAATCCGCATGATTTATTATTACAATTTTTTTGGTAAAAATTACAAACTTTTATTTGAAAAAAAACTTGTCGAGACTCGAATCGGCACGCAGCGATCTCGCCATTACGAGACAGGCGCGCTGCTGCCGAGCCAAAGGAGCTTTACAAGAGTATCTGTTCGGAACTTACTGATGTAGCATTTGTGATTTATTAAAATAAAAAAAATATTAATAGCTCATCTTTACATAAAATCGCTTTCGAGCGAAAAAATCAAAAGAATCAAACATTTCTCTTACTACAGTAATTTTTATTTATTTCTTGTATATACAATGTATTCAACCCGCGCGTATTTGTTATGCATAATCATATGCACGCGTGTCACGACAGTATTTAACATTTATATTTCAAAATTGCATTTTAGCTATCTTTTATCTCGTTGCCGGAAATCGCTCGAAATCCTCTTTCTGAATTTCGGCAACGCAGCGAGACAAAAAACGAGACAGGAGAGAGGGGAGTGTGTCCGTGAGACAAACAAACTCGCCGCTCGAGCTCTGTATTTGTTAGCTGGTGGTGAGATAAGGACGACCGAAATTGATGTCCGTCCTTGTTTAACTAACCTGCTCACATTCCTGCACATAGCACGGAACACAACCGCTAAATCGTGGACGTAGCACGGATCACCACCAAAAATTCGTGGACATTACCGACAATTTCGTGGACATTGGCTATGTAGTTCAATGTCCACGTTTTGTTGGACATAGAAGCGCTGAAACCAGCTCAATCGCCCGTCACAGCTAAATCGCGGGCATGGCCGCTCTTAGGATCCTCTCTGGCAGTATCGTGCAACGGCTGGTGTCGCGCGATCGAGGCAAAGAAGCAGCGGCGTCCACGGTCGCCAACGCAGACGCTCGTCGTCGTCGCAAACGAGGGTCGGTCGCGACGATCAGCTGCTGTACAGAGAGACAGCGAGCGAGTGAGAGAAAGGACCCCGCTACAGCTGTTCGCAACGTTGCTCCGAGCTCTCTCTCTATCTATCCATCTATGCGTCGACTCGCCACACGCGTGCGCGCTCAAGTTTCCAACCGCCGTTTGAACGAGAGATGAATGCGTACGTTTCACCACACAGCTAGCACGCGCAGCGCAACGGAGCGGCGCTACGAGAGGCGGATAGATA